TTTTTTTCAAGTCCGATCACTGGTTGCCGGTCGGCCTTCTTGATAGCCACGTGTGTGTGTGGGTGTGTTCGACTTAATACACAAATCATTGTGTTTTATTTGGTTGGAGTTAGTGGGACCTCCGCTGGACTCTGGAGCGGCTGAGCATACCTCAGCCTTCGACAAAACCCACCTCATAATTTTTTGAAGCATTTTACAGGTATATGTAATTTTATAAGGACTAGCAGTTATAGAAAGATTTAGATCATTTCGACGTATTTTCCAAATGTGCCTTCACTTAAGGTGTTTTTGAAATAAAAATTACGCTCAAGATCGCAGAATATTTTATCTTTAAAAGTTAGTGTAATCTGAAGGCACACCTCTAAGGTATTAAATTATTCGCAATTGTTTGTAGAATACAATACATACTTAAAAAGTTCTTAAAATTAAATGCTTCAAAACCTATACGCAATAAACTGAACATTTTGAAATGTGGAGCTACAGACTTTGAGTTACTTGCCATATCGTTATTTTGTAATGCACACTTTTCTTACCTACTACATATGAAGTGTACACATAAGTGCTAAATGCCCATTTAATTTCAAATCAGAATATGGTGTGCTTCAAAAGTTATGACATAATTAATTGTGCCCCTCTTAAAAATTACATAAAAATTTACTTGTTTTCATTATTTTTTTTAAATTTAAACACCTATATTTCAAAAGTCATGCAGCAAATTGATCCACTTTTTTTTTTGAGGCTTCAAGTATACGTCAATGAAGTATATCCATAAGCAACCAGCTTGATTTAGTTTACAACAGTGAAAATAAAGCTAAATAACACAAAGGTTACCTGTTTTTTAGATTTGCCCATATGTATAAATACTTGAATATTCTAAAGGTAGTATAAATAATACTGATTATCACGGTTTACGGTTTATTTTAAGGTTTATCCGGAGAATTTCAACATAGAAGCAGAAGTAAAAAATCAATTTACGAAGGATGCATGGCTGACGCGTTGGTTTTATGGAAAATGTAAAGATGAACGGAGTTGGTGCCAATAATTTGAATTATGTTTGTTTTTGTACAGATACAAATATGTAAAGGTAAAACCGTTCGCTCAATTCGTCGGCCATTATTTATTTTTTAAAGTTTGTCTACCTTATACAATTTAAATTTTCAGAGCAACTGAAATGCCAAATAAAAATAAAACAAAAAATAAGTTGATGAACATATTCAATTTTGCTTTTATTTGTGACTGAAAGTGAGAATGTATGTGTGAGATTGAAAATTTGAAAACATTTTTGTTATGCGGCATTTCATGTCACCTCGGCCATCGCACTGCTATACCATTTTACCGTAAAAATCAAAACCCAACAGAATTCTACATTTTAAGTGCTATGCGTTGGGTAACCGCTTACACGCAAAGCCCGTTTAACCGATTTTTATGTGACAACTCTCATGCAAAGCTAAGTATGCATAACTGGGCTATAAGGAATGGATGAAAGCTGAAGGGATTGATTTTGCCGATATGACGTAGGGTTGCCTATTTACAATGGATTTAAATTTTAAGAAAACGTCAGACATATCTTTCTCTAAAGTGCTGTATTTTGGAAACCTTTTACGAAACTTAATGAAAAAAAGTATTTATTTCGTCTTATTATGGGCTTTAATTATAAATTTTTTACATTAATATGTAAATAAGGCGACAACCCTCCTACATGTAGTTTAAAAACAAAGCATTTTCAAAACCATTTCGATTGATACCCATATTGTAATATGTACGCAAGTCATTAACATTATTAAATAATTTGAATATAGTTTTTTAACAGGTGGCAACTCTTTAAAAAAAAAAATTAAACCTTATTGCACATCTAAAGGTCAAGCCCTTTAATTTGGCACATACATTTTGACAATCGAATTAACGGTGTAGATCTGATGACATTAACAAAAAATCCTTAGCGTAACAAATATAACACGCATAACACTGGAATGGCCCCATAGATTGTATTGATATTGGTCTTAGTTGAAGTTTCATTTACGAGTCATGCTGTTTTTGTTTTTTAGATTTTTTCAATATTTTTTTTTAATTCTTGTCCTTTCCATGAGTCCTGTAATTGTGCAACTTCAGAGTCGCATTTCTTTGTAATTTTCCCTTATTCTACAATAAAAATCCTTTACAAGAAAAAAGAAATCGTTGATTTATCTCACCTCTGAGAGGCGCAATTTGATTTTGAAAATTTTTTTCCCCTAAATCGCCCATAGTGTGGCGGTAGTTTGAAAGATATCACTGTGTTATAAAGTACACAATCTATAAAGCATATGTTTCAAGTTTGAAGACGCCACGTTGTTTAGTATATGCTTGGCAGCAGTCAATAGTGAATGTTTTCAGTGAATTTGTGAAAATGGAGAAAATTGGTCATCGTTACGTGATACAATACTTTTATTTGAAAGGCCTCAGCCCATCCAATATAAAAGCTGAAATAGATGTAGGACGACATCTATCCCTCAACTTGTCAAGACAGTTGAAGACAACGACGCGACACCTACAGGACTTTAAGAGGAAAACA